GCTTTATTCGATCTGAAAAAACATACAGAATAACAAATAAATTGTATGCACAAACTTGCAGTAGTTAATTAAACGGTAGGGCCTAAAACTAAGAGTACTAAACAATGCTAAATAAATGGAATTAGTACTTGCTACTATGGCAGGACTTCTTTAAAACAAAAAACAACTGAAATTTAGGTACTGTACTGAATTCACTGAGACTATAATAATCCAACTGTACGTACTGGTACTTTCCGACTGACTGAAAAAACTGAAAAACATGTGTATAACCCACCCAAAGTGACCCCAATAGACCCTGTCTCTTATACACATCTAGATGTGTATAAGAGACAGTTCCACCTCTGTGGCTGAGACTCCACCATATGATTCACCTTGTATCTGGCTGGCTGACGGGTTGGTTCCCTTAATGGTGCTGTTGCACGCATACGAGATTTCATTACTGATGTCATTCACAGCATCATGTTTTCCAGTGTTGCAGGTTGGGAATCTCGCTCCAAACATCTTGCCCAGACCTTTCGGTCATCACCCTCCAGTTTCTGTTCAATTATGGCCAACATGTGATTGTTGTCCATGTCGTTTGGTCTTCCAACTTCCTGTAGCGTGTTATAACTTCGTTTCCATGTGGACAAGTTCGCAAAACCTTGCATCTTCACCTTCCTTTATTGGTTTGAAATTTACTATGTCCTGGGTTATAGTGTCGGCTACGATGTGGGGATCACCATATATGGTGTCCAGATACTCCCAGGCAGCATCGTAGTCCTTTCCCATTCCCTTTATCAAATCCAGTGGCTTCCCTTCCAAACTAGATCGCAGCAATGTGATGGCATCATGCTTCTTGTACCTACTGTCGACAATATGTTTAAAGACAGACCGAAATGTATAAAATTCTCTGACATTACCTGCAAACTTTGGCATTTTTGGTCGTTCCATTTTCAACGCACATGGTTCAGTTTGACTGGTTTGGGCTGCGGCTGGTGATTGTACTGTTTCCGTTGCCTGATTATTCTCTGCCGTTTCTGTAGGTGGCTCGGCTACACTTTGGTCAATGATTTCATTTATGCCCTCCTCTTGATTGGAATCATTTTCTGGTTGCACAACTTCTGTGCTGGTATCTGTGCTTGGTTCTTCCGTCTGTTTAACTGTAACAATTTTTCCTCATTTTTGTCCGTGTCTAAGTACTTCCTGGCATCACCATGGGTTGATATAAACCTGTGTTGACATTCAGCTAGCCATGCTTCTTCGTTATTAAATTCCTCTTCATTGTCAATGAGCTCTGTGTATACCTCATGCTTTTAGATGTGTATAAGAGACAGACATTACACTTAATATTTTTAAAATAAACATTAGGCTCTTCTTGGTCCGGTTACCATGGCAAAGTAAGATAAGGGATTAACCCATTATCCCAAATAGGGGTTAGAATTTGGAATATCCCATTTAAATAGGTATAACTTCATAGTGACAAAATCCACATGTCACAGTATGTAGCAGAGGAATTGAAGACAATCCTGAGCGGGGTGCTCTTATTGTCTGGTCTTTGTACCGCATGGTGTGAAATGTAATACACTGGACCAGTGAACGAATTAACTTTGGACTCTGTCAGCTTCCTAGCAAACTTCATATCTGTTAATTCTTTTATTTGCTTGTCGTAAGCTTTTACGTGCTCTTCATTTTGCTGTAGCCTGCGTTCGGTTGATTTTAATCTCTGCTCGGCTTGGGATTTGTTATCTGGCAGGAGTTCTGGTCGCTTCCTCCATGGATAAGGGGCAAGCCATTGATTACTGACTTTTTGAAGTGACTCCCTAATTATTCTGCCTTCTTCGAGTGCAGTATGACTCTGGTTTTCCGACTTGCATTCGCACTGGTTAACAACAACGCCCATTGATTCTGTCTTCCAAAAGTCACTGAGGTCTACAGGTTTGGAGTATGAAACGAATAGGACCTTACTACATTGGGTCCTACCACTTGTGGCAGCTCCGAACACTATCCATCCTAGCGGTGAGTTTCTGGCTAATATGTCACCTGCTTCCTTGGTCTCTCCATGCAATTTAGCATGGTCAATCCCAATCAATATGTCTACAGAACCACTTCCTCTATGTAACTCATTGTGGTCTATTTTGATTCTTTTTGACAGATCAACAACATCCACTGCTGCAATGTCTCCACTTATACATGGAATGCCGATGGCCTTTACCACATGACATGTGTCACCTGCTTACCAAGTGGCTGTATGCGAACATCGTACAACTTGGTTCGTATTTCTTGTTCCTCGCCTCCAACTTTGGTGATGGTGGTCATCACTTCCTTCCCTTCAGGTGCAACTCTTCAGCCAGTGGTTTTCTTATCAAGCTGATTTGTGCACCGGAATCCACCAGGACATTTCCTAATAGAGGTCGGTTCTTTATGCCCAAGATGTTGACACATACCACTGGCAGCAATGGTTCCTTTCGGTTAGTATAAGCAATGCCTACAGAATTTCCAGATGAACTTTGGTGTAACAGGGGATGGTGGTAGGCCTTACATTGATTACACTGACGTCTGCGTGAGCATGTTGACATGATTTTTTCCTGCTTTTTTCAGGCAAGCGTAACATGCATGTCCATCTTTAATGGTTTTTATTCTAATATCAGGGCTCATCGCCTTTAGTTTCTCACATTGGTCTACCCAATGATTGTGTGAATGGCATATCCAGCATTTCCACCTCTGTGGCTGAGACTCCACCATATGATTCACCTTGTATCTGGCTGGCTGACGGGTTGGTTCCCTTAATGGTGCTGTTGCACGCATACGAGATTTCATTACTGATGTCATTCACAGCATCATGTTTTCCAGTGTTGCAGGTTGGGAATCTCGCTCCAAACATCTTGCCCAGACCTTTCGGTCATCACCCTCCAGTTTCTGTTCAATTATGGCCAACATGTGATTGTTGTCCATGTCGTTTGGTCTTCCAACTTCCTGTAGCGTGTTATAACTTCGTTTCCATGTGGACAAGTTCGCAAAACCTTGCATCTTCACCTTCCTTTATTGGTTTGAAATTTACTATGTCCTGGGTTATAGTGTCGGCTACGATGTGGGGATCACCATATATGGTGTCCAGATACTCCCAGGCAGCATCGTAGTCCTTTCCCATTCCCTTTATCAAATCCAGTGGCTTCCCTTCCAAACTAGATCGCAGCAATGTGATGGCATCATGCTTCTTGTACCTACTGTCGACAATATGTTTAAAGACAGACCGAAATGTATAAAATTCTCTGACATTACCTGCAAACTTTGGCATTTTTGGTCGTTCCATTTTCAACGCACATGGTTCAGTTTGACTGGTTTGGGCTGCGGCTGGTGATTGTACTGTTTCCGTTGCCTGATTATTCTCTGCCGTTTCTGTAGGTGGCTCGGCTACACTTTGGTCAATGATTTCATTTATGCCCTCCTCTTGATTGGAATCATTTTCTGGTTGCACAACTTCTGTGCTGGTATCTGTGCTTGGTTCTTCCGTCTGTTTAACTGTAACAATTTTTCCTCATTTTTGTCCGTGTCTAAGTACTTCCTGGCATCACCATGGGTTGATATAAACCTGTGTTGACATTCAGCTAGCCATGCTTCTTCGTTATTAAATTCCTCTTCATTGTCAATGAGCTCTGTGTATACCTCATGCTTTTTAACGAGATCATCAAATGCTACTTCTAGCCTTTGCAGTTGTGATCTTACCTCTTCTGGAGCCTGGTGCTCTTGCATCATCAGGTAAATAGCATTTCCTTGTCGAGTCAATGCAGCCTTTGCATTACGCCGTTTGATTTTTAAATCCTTTATGTTACCATCAGTCGCCATTTTCCGACATCAAATTCCTTGTATATCCCAGGTTAGCAAACAGTAATCGAATGAATGGATCGTCCAAAGAAATTGATAAGAAATGAAGCCCTGCGAGACCGTATATAATATGCTTATAGCTTTATTCGATCTGAAAAAACATACAGAATAACAAATAAATTGTATGCACAAACTTGCAGTAGTTAATTAAACGGTAGGGCCTAAAACTAAGAGTACTAAACAATGCTAAATAAATGGAATTAGTACTTGCTACTATGGCAGGACTTCTTTAAAACAAAAAACAACTGAAATTT